TTTATCTTGAATGGAAAAAGGTAAATCACTCGACCAATTTCCTAGTAAACAGTCACGGTGTATTTGCCCCTCGCTCATTGTCCCTGCATAGCACTAGATTATAGGAAATGAACCGGGTCAAGAGGAGAAAAGGGGAAATGTCACAATTGTTCAGCAGAAAATTGGCGCTAAGTCTGGCCCTGCTACCGGACAATGCTGACCACGATCCAGGCTAAACATTCCGTAATGTAACTGGTCAAATGTGGTACAACACTCGAAGAATAGATTACGAAAATGAAAGGGGTCTACTTCACAGCCAGTTTTTAGATCATCTTAAGCGACTTAGAGAGCCTATGTTCCTATTCACGTCTTACTGATAGCTTCGGATATAGAATTTCAACCATGGAAATAAATAAGGTTCTGGAAAATTATAGGCTTACTATGTTCTGAAAGGATGCAATACATGAAAGACACGATTAAAATGAGCGATGATGCACACTCTACATGATTACGGTGACGAATAGAAGCTAAAGTATAAACGCACTTGTGAGTCTTGGCTTGTTGGTGTGCTATGGAAGATTTGCCGAAGTCAATTTGATACAAATTCTGGGCTGGGAGAAAGTTTGCCATGGCCTTTTGTGTCAGCTCTTAGGTGCTATTATTTTATCATGGAACGTCCCGAACATGCTTCGGTGAGAGTGAATTCAAAACGAGTGAAGAATTCTGAGATTGAAGATCTGAAGACCAAGATGTTGTGGCCCCTGGTATGGTCTATTATTCTGAGATTATTTTTTGTGGAAGTAGCTTTCGTGTCAATCACCAATTGAACCAGCCTAGATAGGTTAAAGCGAATACAACAATGTTAGTTAAATCTTTTATTTTATAAGCAGGCTTTCGAGAGTCGGTTTCCTAAACCATCAATAGATCTTATAGAGGAACTATAATATTAATCCTACTCACCCTCGATCGCATAAGACATTTAAGTACCAACAGCAAGATAATGGGAAACTTCCACCGACATTTCATTTCAGGGAGCTATTCAGACCCTAGCTCTCAGCCAAGGAAAACACCCAGATATTATTTAATTGAGTGAATCTTAACAAAAGTTTAGTCTTTAGAGAAATTAATCTATCCATCAATAGAGCAAACCTCACCTTCTATGATGGGTTTTATGAACAGGTGCAAGGACTTGAAATGGGATCTTGTTTGACTTTCATTTAATTTAGTGATTACATGTCAAGAATGGAGGAATGCTTCATGGAAGAAGTAAGTCTGACACAAAAAATGTTATTTAGATATATGGATGATTATTTTTTATTTGGCAACATTTTAAGGCTAAACTAAATAATTATTTATTCTTAAATGACTATAGGGGTAGTAAGATCAAGTTTAGAATGGAAATAGAGAAGGATAATTATTTACCATTTTTAGAGGTTTGGGCTATAAATTAGATGAAAAGGGAAGAATATAGAAAGCTAGTTGGATGTCGGATGTATTCTTAAATGCTTTACCAAATATGGTAATAAAATGAAGACCTATATTTTGTATAAGAAATGATGATTCATGTATAAGATTGGACAATAGATATAAAGAAAGGTGGACTAGTGAGGAGGTGGGGAAAAAACGGTTTTCAAAAAAACTATGAAACTTTTTTCGTTTATACCCACTTTTAGAGATAAAGTCGACCCATTATCCAAAACAGTTCGTATTAAAATGATGTGTTCATGTGGTTGCTTTTGTCCCGGACCAGTCATCCTGTTCGATAAAGGCTGGCTGAACACAAAATCACTTATGGAAGCTGTCGGGTTTGAAGATTTGATGTGGCGAAGCGAACGGCAGAAACTCACATTTGAAACAATACTCTCAAAATTACCATTTTGTATATTATGCTAAGTCTGCAGCTAAGCACAAAAGTGGAGAGGCCAACAAAATCAACATATTAGACGACACATTGAATGCCAGAAAGCTAGATTAAATGTTGATTAAATAAAAGATGAAGTGATTTTTGAAACAACTAGCAAATCGAGGTGACTCAAATAGTATTTGTTGATCATAGTTTTAACTAAGTTCACACTATCTAAGCGTCATAGTTGACTCTCTTGTTCTCACACCCCACGCGTCTCACGAGCACTTTATGCGCAGTCCACATGTGCAATGTAGCGCATTCAGATGCAGCAATATTTCAGAATCAAACAAAACAAGATAAGTGTTTCAGATGAGAATGCAGCATTTCATGCTTTATCCACAACCACTTCACTTTTAAACAGTATATAGAAAAAACGTAGGATCTCCAACCAAATCATGAGATGTCTCACTAAGTGGATATAGCTAGATTATAAAAGGTAGGTAGGATTGCAGCCGACTGCCTTTCTTGTCTTTGTGTCTGGGGAATTATCGTGAAGATGTCAACAAGGATTCATCGAGTCGCAGTGCGGTACGCCGAGGACCGATTTGTACAAATCTGCAATCACAGCTCTAAGGCAATGCCCCTAAATCCTGCGAAGAGGCCAATTTACGAATCTCTTCCACGTCTCTACAAACGAAATAAAAGGTACTCCAGAATCAATCTACTAAGGGATTCCATATATCGCTTTCTCTTTCACACACATACACACACATATATATATATATATAATGGAAAGTGTGTCCTATAATACGAAATCGGAAGGATGATTAAACAAAAGGTGTGTGGGTCAACAAATTTTGATAGCTCAGGCCAGATTTTATGCTCGGTTCTAATTATTTTCATCTATCATTGTTGGTCTCCTACTTATACAGTCACATGTATGCACATGCACACCTTAAACATATGCGCACATATTCTAAATTGATCTATGGCTCGATCTAGCAAAAATGCCAAGGTTTAGGGTAGATATACAACATGTAATGATAAGCTGGCGAATTTTCTAGACTCGTTAGCTTGAATAGGGTTCTAAGGATGATATAGTGTTTTAATAATGTCCGCCATCTGGCATACGAAAGCCTAACATGTCTTGGCTAGAATCGAAGGAGAGTGCCACTCTCGGGAAGAGTATCAAAAAATACTTCTAACACTCCAATTGGCAACTGAACAGTGGACATTTGCGTTCGCCTTCTGATGAACTCAACGTAAAGAATCGTTTCATCATGTAGTTTGCTAGCCTCACGATATGACAGTTTTCAAAAGATCCGTAGCTTTTGAAAGTTATGTTAGCTGCTAAAATAGTTATGGTCCCTCCAGGTAGCATAAGATGAGGAAAGACTGATATTTTAGTAGTTGGCATGACATCCTCTTAAGTGACCTATGCTGACGTAGTGTATTTAAATCGGAATAGACTATATTACTCACCGGCGTAATGAGTAGTTTTTAAAATAATCCATCATTCTTGAAGTCGTCTTGTTTCCAGCCCCCGACCCATAGGCCTTGCATCAGTGCTCATCTTCCCATCCCTTGCTCTCTTGGTGTTCGTTTGCTTCCATCCTCTGTGCCCCGCGACCTCGGTGCCCAGAGGGCCAGTTTAACGAGACCGTGGCCCAAGAATTGCGTCAGCTCTACCCCTACTCGATCTGCTCTCGGTCCTGCCGACTCGGCCAGGCGACACGCTACGCCCAGGACAGTCCCTGTTGCTGGCGCTGCAGCGATTGCAGTCCCGGCCAGTACGTGCTCTGGCGACCGACCAGCGGTCCGGCCGACATTCCACAGTACCGCTGGCCGTTGGGCGGCTCCGGCGACGCCGGCAGCGAGGCTGCCTACGTGGCGACGGTGAACAACGAGGCCGGCTGCCGTCCCTGTCCGCCGGGCACGCAGTCCTACGCCAATCGGACAGGCTGTCAGATGCTGGAGTTCGAGTTTCTGGGCCCTCGGAATCCGATGCTCTTCGGCGTGGCCGCCTGGAGTCTGGCCGGTCTGATGGCCTGTGTCGGAGTCGGCATCACCTACGTCTGCAAATGGCGGACGCCCGTGATCCTGGCTTCGGGGCGAGACACCACTCTCTTCCTCCTCTTCGGCATGATGGCCAGCTACGTGGCGCCAATCGCTCTGATGATGGGCCGACCGTCGACCACCATCTGCGCCCTCGGTACCATGGCCCCGGGGCTCTGCATCACCATCTGCTATGCGGCCATCTTCACAAGGACCAAACGCATCGCTCAAATCTTTTTGGTCAGCTCGCCAGTTTGTGCGAATTATCACTTTCCGACCATCAGTTATGACTTCAATATAATGTCTAGTCAGTCTAGGTAGTTGACGGGCAGTTGAAGACGGATAGGGGTGTTTCCCACAATGGCATGTGGAGACCTGTGAAGAGACTCTGGGGTTCAAGGACCCTCGTGGTTACGCTCAACTTCATTTTGGCGGATCCTGCTTGGCCAACTGTCGGTTTGCAATATTGAAACATTATATGAAGCAATCCCTTTCAGTGCTTGTGTGTGT